TGGTTAGAGCGTCCGCCCGGAGAGAGGAAGGTCGCGGGTTCGATCCCCGACCGCGTCATACCAAAAAGACGTTAAAATATGGTTACTTGTTGGTCCCTGCCTGGCGCTCGGTAATGGGTACAACAAGGACTGGTCGGCTCGGAGTCAGTATAATGTGTCTGAGTGGGGTATTCATGCTTCACTGCGGCATGGTATCTCAGTAGGCAAGCACTATAAAACCAGCTTCAGTCTGGGCTAGTACAAGTAGTACAAGAAGCGGTTATGGCCCGGGAAAGCGAAATCTGGACTAAACCTCCTCAATTTAGGTTTCGCTTTCGCCGTAACGGCCAAGCTACAGTTAACACTAAATTTCGCGTTCCCGGGACTCTCAATACACAAGAAAAACAAAGAAGTGTGAGTCGTCGTCTGATACCGTACTCATGGTAGAAATTTAATATATGAATAACAATAAATGTTTGAGCCACAGACTGTTCACTGATAAGTCACATGGATGGATCATGTGGAGGTGGAATTGAAAATATCGTGCATAGACAACTTACATCGTTAAGCGTTACTTATATATATAGGGCGATAACAGCCTAAAACTACTTTCACTTGTCAAAGTTTGATTCACATTTGATATTTCGGCAATGCCAGACAACAAAATATATATGGATAAAATTTTGCAGCAAGCTTAAATGCAAAGAATACGCACTACCGACACATCAAAAATGCCGCCATAGAACCAGATGTATGCTTCTGACGCTGCAATATAACTTACCGCAGTCTTAATGAAGGTTGATACTTATTGTAAATTTAGTGTTATTTAGAATACCTGCACAGAGACACCTAGATTTAATATCAAATTTGAAAGCACCGACAGCCAAAATGTCCCAGTTAACTGAGAATTAGTGAGATCTGCTCGAACAGCCGTCTTTGCGCGGTGGATTAAATAAAATAGTCAAATAAGTCAAACAACAAACAAATTTTACTACACAGCCCCAATACTTCTTTTCTCGGAGGGTTTTCCTACACCGATGCTTAAACTTGTCATAGATCAAGTGCTGAAACTTGAAACAACTGAAACTTCATCTCAGCTAAGAGGCTCACAGAACGACTATTGGGGTCGCGCGCTAATCTGAAGTACGGTAATCCGCATTCGTCACCACTCGCCCCTTTCCGTAACCTCCAAGAAGACTCGTCTCCCACTCGATACTTGTTATGCGCGAAAATACGACAAACCAATCAGAACGCGCGTAAATGAGAGGGGTGCTTTGATAAAAATAATCCCGAGTACTTAAATCGTTTATGGCATTATGGCATTGTTTAAAGAATCATGAAAAATATATATCGTCATTTTGAAAGTACAAAGAACGTAGCTAAAAGGATTTTGCTGGCTATTATGTAATAGTGATATTTTTATAACTAAAAAAATTTGTTAGGGTGTATTTGAGGTGTGTGAAAATATGACATATCGCCGATCTGCCATTGAAATACTACAGGGCGTTGTTTGAGTGTTTCTAGTTAGTGTTCAAAAAAACATCTTTCACATACACCTTCAATTTTTTATGGGGAATATACCATCAGGTGAAAGGTGTTTGCAAGTAATAGTGATAGTTTTATTTATTTTTTTGTTAGTGTGTATTTGAGGTGTGTGAAAAATATGACATATCGCCGATCTGTTCTGATACGCCATTGGTGCTTGTGATGCTTGAGTGTTATAGTTCTAAAACTTCTTTCTTTCTTGTTGATCTTAGTATTTGACAAAACTGGAAAGGTGTTTGCAAGGCTTTGTGATAGTTCTTAACTTTCTGTTCTTGAGGGGTCTGTGACAGTGTCAGTTAACATTCTGTCAATGCCCATGTCATTCCACACATGCAATAAGATATCTGAATTAGTTACTAATGTAAAAAAATGTCTCAAAGTAGATTTTTTATAAAAAGGACAGCTGATGTTAACATGTTCTACCGATAGTTTTGCGTTCTTTAACATGTTTGGGGAGGGATGGCCGTGGTGTATCATTTATTCTTTCATTCATTCACATATGTTCTTTTTCTTTTGTTCTTTTTCTTAATTTCTTTCATTCATTCACATAAAATTCTTGCTCTTAATTCATTCATTCATTCATTGTAAAATTCCGACCTATACAATACACTGGCTGAAGTACTGTTAAACGCAGCCGAAGTTGCGCTGGGACCGAACCAAGTCACTGTGTGCGTTGGAGCATGACGAGGCACACGTTAATTAGTACAAATGGTAAAGAAAGCAAGCGAGTGACCTATCCCTGTTGTAGAGTATCCCTGCTATTATGAAGTTTTTAATAAGAATCATGCGATTGACGGTGAGAGATTCAAATACACGCACGTGCGTTTGTTGACATAACGGCTCTCATGGGTCCAACTGAGCGTATTTCTGACGAGCTTGCGGGCTTGTTATGGAGATTGTACGTGCGCTTCGACCAATTTAGGAACTGCAATTATAATCGCTACGAGTTTCAAAACAATAATATCGTATTTGTATGTAACTAATCAACCTTAATCTTTAACATTGGGCTTATATTTCATAGCTCTGGGGATATTTAGTCTGACTGTTTTTTGGTCATTCATATTGTTTTCAGCGAATTCATTTGAAATTCCACCTGGGGTGTGACAGCAAGGTTACACGAATGTTCAGTTTGAGAAATATTTTAAAGTCATTTTTGAGTATCTGCTTTGGGATTTAATGCAGCTGAAAAAATATAATTTTATTTGTATATTCAATAAAACAATTCCCATTCGTGATGATTAAACCTTAATTAGAAAATTAACATAATTGGAAATATAAGGTGAACAGCTGGTAATAATTACATAAGAATATGTCTTTAACAAATATGATTTTCTCCTTCTGTTAGTTGTATCAAAGAGGTTTAATTCTTTAAAATAGATAGATAAAAAACCCAGAACAACAACCTAGCAATGTACATGTACTTCGGTGATGTTAAGAAACATTGGTATCAAACAGGCATAGAGTTATCGTTCTTGTTTAAAGTAGTTCTGATGTTCATGCGCCAATATGAAATCCTTCGAGAGGGGCACGAGTCGCTATTCGGCTTGTGAGTGGGTCACGAATGGGTAATCCGATGTTTTTATAACAATTCGCTTTCGCGGCACTTTGGTTTTCGCTTTACCGGGAATAGGGAATATTGAAATTTCGCTTTCCCGGGCCGACACCCAAGCAGCCGCACATACACACGCATACACACATATGAGCGAAATATTCTCAAGCACGACTTTAATCCCAATTTCACCTCACCTCATTTAGAGACTAGATGCTAGTCTAAGGTCGGAGGGTCAGTATCTCGAAGTTGATTAAGCTATTGTATCTCAATGGCTCAGATCGATACTAGTGATGTTATCGCCGGTTTGTCTTTTCAGACTCGATTATTTACTGAGTGAGTGGGTTTAGTTTAGCAATATTCGAGTAATATATCAAAACGGGGTACATCAGAAATGGCTTCACACATTGAAGTGGGAATCTAACCCGGGTCTTCGGCGTGACGAGCGAACGCTGGAACCACTAGGCTACCCCGTCGCCCCGATTATTTACAGAGTCTGAGAGGAGTCCACAGTCTGCACTCTTACAGATGGAGTGAGTGAGTGAGTTTGGTTTTACGCCGCTTTTAGCAATATTCCAGCAATATCACGGCGGGGGACACCAGAAATGGGCTTCACACTTTGTACCCATGTGGGGAATCGAACCCGTGTCTTCGGCGTGACGAGCGAACGCTTTAACCACTAGGCTACCCCACCGCCCCTTTACAGATGGAAGAGTGCAGCGTTACACAGCCACCTTCTATAGCCTATAATAAACATGTCCATATTTTATAAGACTCGATAAGACCCATGAAAATCCAGGTTAGAATTCATCTTCAGTAACCCATTGTCGTAAGAGGTGGTCAGGTACGTTGACTTGGTTGACACATGTCATCGTATCCCAATCGCGTAGATCGATGCTCATGCTCTGTTGATCACTGGATTGTCTGGTCTAGACTCGATTATTTACAGACCGCCGCCATATAACTGGACTATTGCTGAGGGCGGCGTAATACTAAACTCCCTCACTATTAGAGTCGATACAATACGTTTTTGTCTTAACTGGTGATTAGAAAAATTACCGGTGTGTGATCTTTTAGCTCATCATCAGCCATAAGTTACTCGACAGTCCAAAATATGCACACCCTCAGTTTGGGGGTACATTCACACACAGCTACGTCCACGCCTGAGTGTAATGAGCATTTTGTCAAGTCATTCATTCAGAATATAGAGGATGAATTCCTGGACTAACAACTATTCTCTGAAATGAACATATTTTTAAAGAAAAACGGTTCCTAAAATATAAAGGTCCTGTAAATCGCATATTCCCCCTAAGAATTCTTTCAAAATATTAGGCTAGCAAAAGCGTTGTAATTTAGAATTTTTTAGTCAATTTAAAAAGGATCTGGAAACTGACTCCTTAAGCAGAGCATTTACCTTAGCGCCCCTCCCTTCCCCACCCCGCCCTACTGAGTGCAAAACTACTGCAATTCAATTAAAAAATATATTCCATAGTAATTTCGTCTCTTTAACATTTTCGTCTTTGAACTTGTGCTGTACAATATGCTAATTTCCCAAACAGATATACCATTGCATATGGGATAATAAATCTATCGCAGATGTAATGTAAATTAAGCGATATAGTCACCCAAACAAGTTCACAGATATGCGGTGTGTGATGAAGAAACACTCCTAATTTGCGAATTCTTTCCGAAACGCACAAGTGGGAACAATATTTTACTCGAAAGTGGTGACGTTAACCCATACGAGACACGATGATCCATAAATACCATGTACGTTTACTTCCCCTAATATAATGTTGAAATACAACGAGTAGATACATTCATGACAAACGCGACTGATTCGGGTTGGACGGGAGAGTCTAATTTCAAATGTTCTACAGTAGTTATTTCCCTTTAAATATTTATTTGCACTGGGGCCGAGGAGAGTTTCAACGTGACTTATGTAGGTTCAAAGACCCCACTGAAAACTGATCTGTTTAAATCACGGTTGCAGATACTTAGAGGGACGAGGGACATCTCAGACAGAATCATGAGGGAAATCGTCCACATGCAGGCTGGCCAATGTGGCAACCAAATTGGTTCAAAGGTACAGTAGGCTAAATTGTTTCGAAAACTCACTAGTACCACTGCTTATGTCTCCAGACGGGAACTGATAGCCTCGCACGTGTCTGAGAAACGTCAGGCGATAGGTCTTTCCTTGAAGAGTCAGCCATTTTTGTTATATGATAATATTGGACTCGGCTGCTGTCAGATAGTTTCGTGTATTGAGTAAAACATTGTTGGCCGTAGTACATCATGACACGGAATGTGCTGGCATTTTGTCAGGCATCAGTTCACTGATAAGGTCGCTGGTGAGCTTCTCTGAAGTGTGAAGTGGTCTGTTCGCGCTTTTTTTCATTTTTCACCGGCCGATGCCAGGTGTTAAATCGTTCTCCCAATCTTGTCTAACTGGAAACAGGAAGTATTTCATAGAATCAGAAATGGGTTGCCATGTGAAATGGTAATCACTGATGAATATGACGGGATGTGGGCTAATTTGGGACGACAAGATCGGGGACCAAAGCCAATGTGCACCGTACATCTGTAAACATGATTTAGTTCCGAGTAGTAAATGTTCCGGTTCGGAATAAATGCCGTGAAATAGAGAATGGATGACACGAATAAAAAGTCCGCACATACGGCAAATATTCTATCGAACAGGAACAAATACCGTAGGCCTAACTGATTCCAGTCATTATTGATTGCAAAATGGACTCGTCCAACTTGTCAACATCCGGGATTTCTCTAGACCGAAATACTTGTGAATCCTGTTAAGTCTAGGTGAAAATCAAATGAACGAGCGGCCATTTGCCACACACAGCAGGAAGGTGCAACAGACCGATTATGGAGGCAGAGGAATACACTGCTCTAACAGAGTATATTTGAGAAAACAAATACAAGGAAAATGCCACAGAAAACGAAAAAATGGAAAGATCGCCCTATCCACATCCCCTTAAATTTCATTCCAGTCAAATCATATCACCTGAATAGATATTTTGCATGTTTCTTTAATTGTATCTGAACATACTGAAGGACATATCAAACTTCTATAAATGCTTCTCAAAGAAATTTTTCCTCATCGTTAAAATTTAGGGGGGATAGGGGTGGAAATCTTACCGAAAAGAGGAATATGGAAGAGGGCTAAGCATGTCATGTTTCGCGAAGCTTCATTGTACTATGTATCGGACGAGATCAAGGATAAGTTTCCTCCGTTGAGGCTTGTGATAACTAGTGACCAGAAATTAGCAACCACCAGAATGTGCCATATTGATCACTGTAAGTTTACCAAAACTGTAGATCAAATTAAAATACAACGATATTTGAACAATTCTTCAGTATTGTCCGGATTTCGATCAGGACCCTTATCACCCGCGGACATGTAGATATTATACATACATCCTTGAAATAATAATTTGAAATAGATGCACAGATTTTTAAAGAAATGTGAACCATATCTAATGCCAGTTTCGGTTGCCCCATTACACAACCACCGATTTATATGATGTTAAACAAATTTAAGATTTAGCTTGCGATTAGGTCGGGCCTAAATGCCACTAAGTGAATGCATATTATCAAATATTGTGATGGTATTTATTTGGATTTTTAAAAATAGACATTTATTTTGTATAGCCATAACAAAAGATGAAACCAGTGCCCACAATAAAGACAAATGATGCCACTGACGACCTAACTGTATTGAGTCCTTTTGTAAGGAACTTACACACATGATCATTGCTTCTTAATAGCCACAGGATTTGTTCCATATGGAACAAATTACCGTAGGAAACATCTTTCTTCCTTTCATTACCCCTAAAAAACCACGCCCCAAATTTTAAGACCACCCCAACAAACAAAACCCTCTCTTAGACACTTTAGGATGTGTGTGAAAGTTCCTATTTACCCGGAATAAATTCTGTGTATACGGAACGAAATAATTGTTCCGCATGCACAATTACAGGAACAAATATTGGAATGAAAAGTTCCAACGGAAAGTTTACTATGGGGGATCCAAATCTTTTTTACACATCAGTTGTCTGTCTCAGTCCTTGAACCACATTATTTCCCCTTCTGCCTCACCCTCCCAGCTAAGCTAAAGCCCTAAATCAAGTCTAGATTTCCCCAGGTTCAGAGTCTCTGATCTCCCTTGAGTTCCTTTTCAAGTTAAATGGGTTTATTTGTTACAATCAACATTATATCAGAGACTAGAGCTGGTTATCGTTACATTTTGTCAGATCGATAATCGCTCGATTATGATCGTTTGGACGGTCATTTCATAGTCAAATACCTACGTTAGCGAACTAATTTCCGGGATGTTGTCAGCACTTGTCAATTGTTAATGCTAGCAAGTTACTTACATTTGCAGCGTCTTTGGATCATCAAGTATCCTATCGTCTTACGTTTCTGATTGTTATATGTTTTTGATCGCCCATTACAATTTCCTTTTATTGCACGAAAATGCGAGAAAATACATGAGAAGCATCCCGAATGACAACAAGGCAATCCCTGCTTTCGTTCTGACATCGATATGCTACGAATCAAGTTTCCATGCATAGGCAAAAGTATAAAAAACCCACAAGACATTAATTTTAACTCGGGGATCCTAAATCTTTACTCCAAAGATGCCATTAATGTTTCGTCTGCTTAGTTGACCTCCCACCTTACAAGATCACGCTACTAGTCATGTGACCTTGCTGGTAGATTTATTTTCATGGCATGCCATTTTTCTAAAAACTTTTTGTTTATGTTGAAGAGTGAACAAAGACATTTCCTTAAGGTTGAAACACAAAATTTATTCTGGGAAGTATTCTAATCAACCACTATATCAAAAGTTTAAGAGAATACATGAAACTGAAAATAGCTCTATTTTACCCACATTGCGTAAGTCACGTGTTTGTATGCAAATGGTACTCAAGGAATTCCCTTTTTCAGCCAATTAGAAAGTAGGTAACTTGTAACATCGGGGGTCGTATTGTGACGTTTTGTTGCATGATTGGACGAATGACTTTTGCAGAGTTTGCTCATGAATATTAAATAATTTCTATAAACCACTTTACAACTCGTAGTATTTCAATGACCGAATAGGACACCCCAATCTAAATATATCTGGCATTACCATTGCTGACTGGGGAGCAGGGTTCGAAATCTACGCTAGTCCGCTAGCCCAAGGCTAGTAAATCTCCCGGAGGACTACCAAAACATCTAACAGTACTAGTCCGCCGGGTTACCAGGCAGTAGTCGCATCAAAATGATATATAACTTTAGGAACCTAACTAACATATGATTCATTAATTAAATCTAACTATCACTTTTCACAATGTCTGAAAACACATATTACATTTCAAATGACCATATATTATCGACAAACTTAAAATTAAAAGCTATTTTTCGCAATGTTATTGGAAAAAACAATTCTCGGACACATGCTTCGGCAACGGGTCCACATCAAAGTTGTCAAAGAGCAAAGTAAGCGATGTTTGAGATGATAATTAAACAAATTGAATAAATTGAAGAATATATTCAATAACGGTACTCATAAAAGTTGTCAAACCTACATTATAACTTACTATTCCCATCTTTATTACAGCGATCGTGTAATGTAATTCAAGTGACATCTCGGCTTTTCATTAGCCTCGAACCGTTAACTCGGACACGATGTTAAAGCTAAAATATATACATGAAGCAATTTTGTCACAGGTCAAAATCTAGCACGCGATATGTCCACTAAGGTCCAGAATATACATTATAGGTAGTGATCTTGTGCGTAACACGCCTCAGAATAGCATGAATTTACCCCAAACTTTTCGCCTGAATCTAAAAGTTTTCGTTTACTTATATGTATCCATTGCTGTAATATGATTGGCTGCCTTAGGTCGCGTGTGTGATTTTGACCAATCACGATATACTCGTGAAGCAGACTGTGAAAGAAAAGCGTCATTAGAAACCAATCTTTAACCAATCAAATGCGCTTCTTACAACTGTGAAAATACTCTTGGCAAGGGTATAGTGATATAGTTGATGTTCAGAGTTTTCGAGCGATACCCGCCATCAAGCGAATGCGCCTCACATGTTTTTATCTGCTTCGAAACGGATGTATTTCCCACTGTTGTATCCGTTACGCGGTGGGAAAGCCACTGGTATCGGGAAATAGGCGACCATACATATTATTTGAGAAATATCTTTATAATAGTTTTCCGATGAAAAAATAGAAAAGAAAAACGTAAGGGGATAATTATGTCGTGCTACAAATGGAAAAAATCGCCGCATTGTTTGCTTCCTTCGTGGTTTATCTGGACATTATAAATGTGTAAGCTTGCATTTTCATTAAATATTAACTTATGTACGTTGTAGTTGTGTTATCTGAATAATATGATCATATCCATCTGTCATGACTGAATTAAACTATGCCAAAACATATTATGTGTGTGTTTGTTATGATACCACACCTCTGCCAATACTGCTTGACTAAGTCGAATTAATTATTTGGTTTATTAAAGATTGAAATTTGAGGACTACCAAAATTGTGTGAGGACTAGTAGTTTGGTGAGAGTCACTAGTCCTCATGGCTAGTAGACTTTTCAAAGAGATTTCTAACCACAGCTTCCGTTTAAGAGGTAAACAAGCAATGACAACCAGAGTGTTCAGTATAAGAAAACATGACAAGGTAGAATATAACGTTTTAATGTATGTGCATCCAAATAATGATTATTTCCGATTATCGATCTGCAGTTTATGTATAATCGTTTATTTTGACTTCGATCGAACGATTAACCATCCTACGCTCCAGCAGTATCAGAGACTAAGCCTTAGTGTTTGTCTACCTGCCATCAGTGTGCAAAATTTACGCTGGTCATGTGGTCCCTGGCTAGTAAGAAATTTAGGAAAGACTTCTGCCTGTATCCCCCCTTAAATCTCATTCTAGTCAAATCATATCACCTGAATATATATTCCTCATCTGATAAGGATGAGTTTTAACATGTTTCTTTAATTGTATCTGAACATACTGAAAGACATATCCGAATTCTAAAAATGTCACTGAAAGAAATATTT